TTTTTGACATTTAGAAACCAACGTGGCTTAACTAAGCTGATATCACATCTGATTTCCATTTGAATCTTAAAGATCTATCTAGTGTTTTCATTAAATTCACAGTGGTCGTGATTCCTCTGAATGCAACCTTCCAGCTAAATAACCACAGCTCATCACCCAAATGTGACCGAGTTACTGTGAGAGTGTCACAAAGCTGGTGACCTCACTGTAACGAACGTTGTGTTGTGCCAGATATTGTGATCCACACATGTCGTACTCCTACCCTTTCTTATTGTACATGTGTATCATGTTTTGGAGCAGGCTAATGTTCCTGCTATACTTTGTCTTACTTTCATAAACGCATATTAAAGCTTTGTCAACGAGCCTAATTGTAAAATCTGTCGAGTCCCAAACTCACCTCTGCTGCGCCAGACAAAATAATTGCCCTCAGAAACTACACAGGAACTTGAACCTTGTGGAATAGATGAAGCTTCAGAAAGTTGCCCCAGGTAGATTGTAGTGTGGTGTGTAGACTTCCAGGGGTTAGTTGCTTCTACTGAATTCCAATGATATAGAATTACTTGCTTTAAAGTCAGGTCATGATGTTGCATTCCCTTTGTACCGCTAGCCAACTCTACATTTCGGTCAATTGTGAATTTATCGTTTTGCCTGCTAACGCAGTAGCATTGCACAACTTGTTAAGATAGCTTTCATATAAGCTGAAGTTGTTTGTATCACTATGCCTTCTATATAAAGAGTTGTTATGCAAGTAACCTGTTTTACCTCCTTTTTCCTCATTTTCCATTGGTCCCTCTTCCCTGCCTCACCTCTCTCTCTCTCTCTCTCTCTCTCTCTCTCTCTCTCTCTCTCTCTCCTCATCTGTCCTCCCCTCCCTCAGGGCTTTGAACCCCCTCATCAGAGCGACACCAGGACGGTCTATGTGGCCAATCGTTTCCCCGAGCATGGCCACTACGTACCGCAGCGCTTTGCTGACAACAGAATCATCTCCTCCAAGGTACCAAATGTCGTTAGAGCCAGTGTTGGTATTTTCTACTCTACTTGAGATGCTTTATGTACAGATAATAATCTGGAGTTCTGGCATGGTGGGAGAAAGATAAGGCGTTAAGCATGATTTCTTTTGGATAACGGGATCAACTCGGACAGAAACCGGTTTGTGTTGGTTCGAGGATTAGAAGGTCAGTTGGAAGATTGACTGCACAAAAGGATAACAGAGATCATGCTGGGGTGGTTAAGTAGTTGATTGAATAAATAGCATTAGGGTCAAGTCACCTAGGTTGGATTTAATTGATTCTAAGTCATGCATTTTTAAGAAACTGAAACACCTCAAAGGTTATTCTTGGTGGAGCTGTAAAAGTCCATTGTCTAAAGAGAGAACCTAAAGTGATTAGTGGTCTATTGTCAGCGATGCAGTGACAGGATTACTACAACAATGTGACAAACAGTTAAACTTAATATCCTTCAACAACTAATCTGTGGTGTTCAGGTTCTTAAAATGTGCCTGTTTAAAATATAGTCAGAAATAGGCTACTTTTACCTGCCTTATATGTACATGTTTGTTTTTTATTTTACTTGTTCTTAAATGCATTTCCATCTGGCATTCATGAAGGATTAAAATACAGTCGGGGTGTAAAGGTACACACATTAAAGTTTTGTTCATTCTTAGGAGTTACAGTTTGGTCAGTCAACCTATTAATTATACTGTTAATAAACATTTTAAAATAACTCGTGTGCTTTCAATCAGTCCCCTTTGTTTTGGAGAATAAATCACCACGTAGGCTAAATTGCAGTCCAAATTTGCGGGCTCATCGGCATCTTGGCGATAGCCTAAAACTACATCCCTAGTCTCAAATATGGCTTTATGAAACCCACAGATACCATGCTTAAGTAGCCTTTACCCAAAATGTTGTTTCCTTTTTCTCTTTCAGTACACAATTTGGAATTTTGTCCCGAAGAATCTGTTTGAGCAGTTCAGAAGGATAGCCAACTTCTACTTTCTCATTATCTTCCTTGTACAGGTAATAACACGCACAAATGCACACACTCCATTTTGGGTTTTTTTGCAGGTATATGTTGGCCTCTCATATGGTGACGAGTCAAGTGTGACCTCAGTCTTCCTGCCCTAAATACAAATATGCGTGTGTGTGTCTGTTTGTGAGTGAGTGACTCATCGACTTCTCTGGACCAGTAGCGAGACAAGTCTGCTTCTGTATTAAGACATTACACCCACACGTTCAGTTGTATGTGTGTCTCCTCAGCGATCCCTCGGCGTTGGGCCTTCACTACGCATCAGTCAGCCTGTGCTGAAGGAGGATTTGGCTTTCAAATTTTTCAGCCTCTTCCTGATTTATTTGGGCCTGTGTAGTGAGGCCTGAGCAATCGACTTCACTCTGTCTAAAAAGCTCTCTTTTCAACCACTTGATTTGTCAGTGGAGCTGAAGTCAGCTTAGTCCCAAATCACTGAATGGAGGGCCTCTTTTCATCCTGACATTGTAAACATGATGTTTTCTTTAATGGACAGTTTGACCCTTTTTAAAAGGCCTTAGATGGATTCCTGTTGTGAACTGTTATCTCCCTTATCAAACCAAGTAAAGTCTTGGACTCGTTATGGTTTATGTAAATTCTTAGAGCTTCTTAGAGTTCGATGTTTGTTGCATAAGGTGTTAATAGAAGTGATTTATTTTCAAGAAAACACATTGTGTGAAAGTTTCCATTTGCCACGCCTCCTACAGTCGTTGATAACTAACTCCTCTTGCATTCTTTTAACCTGCTGGGATGGCGGGTTTTAGCAGAATTTGACGGAGTAGTTACCCTTTAAGAGACAGGGTTTCACTTGTCTAGTTACTAAACAATACATCTTACGAATGTGGCTCGTATTCTCTGTCAACTATCAGGAAGTAGATGCAGATGTTGCCAGTGACTACACTCTTGTTGTAAGGTTAAGCAAGAAAAGGTTCAAATGTAATCCAGTAAGTAATAAATAAGAGGACGTATCACTTTGCTTCCATGTTCTCTGTTCCAAGTTCTTCACTAAACTATTATTATAAGCTAATCTGCAAAAATTGTTTTATGTAGGGTGTTTTAAACATTTGCAGAGAAGGATGCTTTTATTTCTCTATCGCTGAAGTATGTTGCTGCTTTTGAAGGTGTGTGTGTGTGTACGTGTACTGAACTGACCTGACGGTTAACCTTTGGAGGAAGTTACAGGGATTTCCTGTGTGACATATCAGCCACTACTTCTCTCTGTTGTCTTTCTACTTCGCTTGTTTTCTCTCTACCAGGACATACACACTTTTACTGAGTCTCTGGTACCATTTGTTTCCCCACTGCACTTCCAGTTTATTAAAATCTCTTCATAACCCGCCCATATATTTATCTTTCCAGTTAATGATAGACACCCCTACTTCCCCAGTCACCAGCGGCCTGCCTCTCTTCTTTGTGATCACAGTTACCGCCATAAAACAGGTGAGAACACGAGCACATGATAGCTTCCTCTTTGTGGGGCTGAAAATAGGGAACCTACGTGCGTGCAGTATCATTAAAGGTAGATTAATCATAGTCAACATATGTTGTTTCAACTTAGTTTAGTCTTCAGTTGAATACAAAGTGATAAAGACAACTTGAACCATTCCTGTAAATTTCTTCAGTCACAATGTCAAATATATGAAAATGTGATTCAGGATGCTTTATTTACAAACCAGTACATTTTGAATACCTTTAACAGCTATTGGTCCCTTCAGTTGATCAGTGACTAGTTGTGTCTTCACCGCGTCGCCGCTGTTCACCAGTAATGCTCTACAGTTGATGTATGTGATCGATGGCTGAACACATTTCTCCTCAGGGCTACGAGGATTGGCTGAGACACAAAGCAGACAACGAGGTGAACGGGGCTCCGGTGTTTGTGGTTCGCAGTGGAAGTCTCGTACAGACGAAATCCAAGAACATCCGGGTAAGAAAACTACACCCTAGATATAAGCTTTACTCTTTGTTTAAGAACATTACCTCGACCAAAGCGAAGCATTATGTTTGTTATTGGGGGGGGGGTAACTTAAAAGTACCTAAAAATAGTTTGTTCGCAGCTCACAGCCAACAGCCACACATACCTTCAACTTGGCTGTTACATTCCTGGTACTAGTGGGGTTTCTGTAGAGGTAATCTGTATAGAAAGATGATGTCAATTTAAAAGAGACCTGTTTTATGTGTTAGGAATAAGGCTTTTTTAACTTTGATACAATATTAATACAAACGTCTATCTAATTTTTCTTAATAAGAACCTGCACACAGTGCTGGTACCTGTGTTGAGCACCAGGAGCAAAGTTTTCATGCAAACAATAGTATGACTGGTGTGTGATTTGCATGCCAAATTAATCAGAGCACACAAAGCCAAATTACCATGTTACTTGCTGACGATCAATGCAGCATTTAAAAGGATATTCGTGCAGCGCTCACTCCACAAAAGACACACTGGGGCTCATCACTTCCAGCAAACCTCACGGAGAACAGTGAGGGCAAAGCAGCATCACTGATCTGTTTCAACCCAAATATTCTCTTGTCTAGCTCAGCTTAACACACTAAATCTGTTAGCACGTTGTTCACTACCCAGCCTGTTTGTAACCGGCTTGGTAGCAATGTTATCTTCACGTAACCGGTCTCTGCTCCCTGTGTATGTGTAGCGGCTTAGCCCAGCACTCAATGAAACACAAGAGCAGAGGATATCATATATCGGGTGAAATTTTAGCAGCAGCGCTCATAATTCTGCAACTGTGCTGCTCACGTTAGTTTGGACTTGCCATGACTAACCCCAACTTGCTTCTTAAATAACAATGACTAAATAACAATGACATGTCAGAAACTAAAAAGGGAATCATTGATCTTTTGTATTTTTTAAGGTTCTTTTCTTAACAGTTAGTTAGCAACTTTGAATTGAATATAACACCCTTGCCAAAAAAATGTATTTAACATGTAACAAAACAGTTAAAAAGTAATTGAAGGCATACAACTTAAACAGTGTGTGTGTGTGTGTTATTTTCTGCCTGTGTGTCCAGGTGGGGGACATTGTTCGTGTGGCTAAAGATGAGACGTTCCCAGCTGACCTGGCGTTGCTGTCGTCGGATCGTGCGGATGGCACCTGTCACGTCACCACAGCCAGCCTTGATGGAGAAACCAACCTTAAGGTCTGTATATCAGAATCCAGTCTATTGCCAAGTAGAAGTCAAGCTTTGTGGTATTGGTGCATAGACAAGAACCAGGGATATAGAACAGTAAAAATCACAATAAGAATGTTAGAAAATTCTATTTAAAAATGTAGGATTTAAAAATATGTACAATGTAACTGGAAGAGGAAAGAACAAGGCAGAGATGTGCAAAAAAAACATGCTCTTCAAAGATATGTGAGAATATCTGTTGTGGGAAAACATTTAACAGACTGTTATTACTTTTTCTGGTGCAAACAACCATGGAGTGTAAACAAACAAAAGTTACATTCAGTTTACATTTTCATCCTTGAGGTCTGTGTGAATGCATTTCCTTCCTCGTAAAACATTTACAAAACAGATTTTTATCGTGCGTGCGTGCTTGTCTGTCTGTCCACAGCTAAACTAGATCCATCAGCCTAATAGCTTCTGTGCTCATTTATGCTCAAGGACTTTGCGGAGATTCACATTTTTTAAAATCTATTTAATTGACTGTTTTATGCCATCATTGACTGTTGACTCCTCACTCCACTCAAACCGCCGGTAGGGTTCTTTGTTGGTTGCTGCGTTTGTCTGTAGTTCCTGCCACCAACTGTCGACCAATGGAATCATGGTAAACCAACAACAGGATGTAAATCATCTCGCTAACATGGTTGAGTGTGTGTGTGTGCAACCTCATGCTTACAAAAACAATGTTGTCGTTGTGCTACTGGCGGTCTGAAACTCCACAGGGTACCTTTTAACTTGTGTTGCTCTGAAGCATTTCATCATTGAGATTCATTTTAACTTTTTCTTATGTAAATACATTTTTTGGGAAATTACTCTTTGATTGGTCAGAAAATATAGTTTGATTGGCAGACCTCTGGGTGTCTGTCACATGACTAATGCCAGCCTGTGAGTGTGCCAGGTGTATGCATGTCCTGGTCTTTAAATTACTTTGATACCATAATATAATTTCAATATTTTACATATTGTGTTTAGAAAGTCCCCACCTCACCCTCACCCCCACCTCATCCACACAGTCTTGCCAGAGGCTATGTTGCTTAATTGCCTCTCTAACGAGATGTTGGTGCTTGTGTAACAGTGTATTTATACAGCATGGTGGGTTTTAAGTGTTGCCCTAGATATGCGTTTGTACAATCTTTCAACCTTTTGATATTTTTATAAATTGCTGTCAGCTGCAGCTGTTTGTATGCTGTACTGTATAGTACAGTAAAACTGCAGTAGCACACACGCATCATGCTAAACCCAACCTGCCAATACTGTAGCTACAGTACAATTGGATCAGGTTTATCTGACCAAATATATATGACAAGTTTTGGCCCAGCTGTTTTGGGCAGGGTCAGAATATGTTTGGTGTGTTACTCAAACATTCAGTATTTTTTTCCACCTGTTGGTTTGCTTGAATAGGTTACATTTACCCTACATTTGACATTTTCCCTCCTTCGTATAGTCAGAATAGCAGGCTGTAGCTCTAACTGTTCACGGGTTGCAATGTCTTTATTATCATCAGCATTAACTGTATATTTGTGTGTTGTGAATGTGTGCAGACTAACTACTCTGTGGCGGAGACGGCAGAGTGTCAGTCGGTGTCACAACTGGAGGCTCTGCAGGCTGTGGTGGAGTGTCAACAACCGGATGCTGACCTGTACAGGTAATGCGTACCTACGTGAACACACACCTTCAGGATGAGCGCACAAGAAGTCCAACATCAAGTCACATGTAATAAACAAAGGATACTCCCCGTTAAACACATACGAGAGCATTACAATGGATCATTTCAAGTCCTCGTTTCGGAAGGTTTTATTCTAGCTTTTTATTTATAATTATATAACTGTAACACTGCAAGTATAGATGATTCTTTTCAATCATTTGTTTTTCTGGGATTCCCCGTAGACCCCTGGCGGTCTCCAGACACCACTTTAAAAGCCATGTGACTCAAACATGGTACAAATGCCCTGTCGGAGATATGTTATTAAATGGATGATGAGTTGAGATGGCTTCATCGCCTCTTCAACAACCCCTCTTCCTCTTGTCTGGCTCAGCTGGCTACTTTAAAATCGATCAGTGTATTTTTAGATCAGGCAGTTTGTTTCGGTAGCAGTTATCTCCCTTCCCCCCCCTCCCTCGGTCGCTGTTTCCCTCGCTCTCTTAACATTCACTGCATTTAATTAAACCAGCTAGTGTGAGCTTTCCGCGGTGATCTGCTTTCTTCAGCATCATATTAACCAGAAACCTGGTTTCTTTAATCAGGTTAAGGGATTAAGGAAGACCTTGGTAGTATTCTGCTGTCGAAGCCTGGTAGTATTCACTATACCAGGTTTCTCATGGTGTTATTATTATATGCGTGCATGAGCATGGCAAACACTCCAGATAGGGAAAGCATCACTGTAGCAGCAGGGTGAAAAGGAAGGTCTGCACTTGTTGTAAAGCATCCTTTTTTTGATATAGTTTAATTTAAAGTCCAACTGAAACTGATATGTTATTTATTGACAGTTTCCCCTGCTTGAACAGTTGTTTCTCTGTTAACATTTAGACACATTCTCACAGTGACAGAGAAGCTGTTCGCTCCAGAGCTTATTCTTTAGGAACTCAGTTAGTCCAAACGCTCCAAAGAAAAGCTGTGCAGACTGCGTAGGCATCGATCTAATACATATAAAATACATATAAACACAGGTTGTACAGTAAACACGTTATTGAAGTGCATGTGAAAGCCTTTCTCATATTTCTTGCAGTTACAAGATTTCTTCCAGTCGTCTGGTTACCTGTGTGAACGTAGTCGGTCTCTCTCACACCACTCGACTAAAATGCCTTTGGTGTTTTCCAGGTTTGTCGGTCGGATTACGGTGACTCAACATGGAGAGGAGATAGTCAGGTGAGACCAATGATTTACTTTATGGCTGTGTGATCAGGCGTAAGGCTGATAAACTGACATCCCCAATAAGGTGAGCATTGGATACATGGTCTTCTGATTAGTTTTAAGGATAGTACCAAAGTTACACTATGAGACAAATAAAAGGGAACAGTGGCTGAGGGTGACGCTTTTAGCAGAGGGTTACAAAATGTTAACCGCTGGTCTAAAGAGACGAAGCTGTCTAATGTATTTAATCAGAGGGAATAAAATGTGCAGCAAAATGATTCATTAACAGATGTATGAGACACTCATAGACTGTTGTTGAGTGTTTTATATCAAGACCTTACTGTGTCTCGTTTGTGCCAGAATCCTAATGCCACATCCATCTTTCTCTGTATTTATGCTGTTTTTGTTTGCGTTTACATCAGGTCGCTGGGTCAGGAGAATCTGCTGCTGAGAGGAGCCAGGCTGAAAAACACCAAAGAGATTTTTGGTAAGACAATACAGTTGAAACTTATAACAGACATAATTCATTCCTAATCAACGCGTACATTCAGTACGCTGTATTGATAAAGTATTTCTTGCAATGGGATGTTTCCAGTTGAATTGAAAGAGAAAGACGAGATGTAGCTGCTCAAGAACAGATTGCTTCTGAAATGCTTCCAGTAGATGTTGGAAGCATTGATGATAAATAGCCAGCTGTAACACAAAAACGAGCCAAACTCAAGTTGACATTATGAGTAGGACAATTGACTTATTATCATATGGCTGAAGTTTGGTTGTGTCAACCAATGACTTTTCTAGCAATGCTTCAATAGTGGGTTTGAGTATAATGTTGTAATTGTTTGACATGGAGACGTTGAGCCAATGACCTACCATGTAAATCATGTTTCCTATGTTCTCATGCACTAGTCGGTTAATAGTCTAATATCCCATAAGCCCGGTATAATACTTCAACCAACTGTGTTGCTGCAGGTGTGGCAATTTACACAGGGATGGAGTCCAAGATGGCCCTCAACTATAAGTGCAAGTCCCAGAAACGCTCTGCAGTAGAGAAGTGAGCACTTTCCGTTGTCTCTGTGTAAGCAAAAATGTTGCTGTTTTAGGATGTGGTTAATTTAGCATTCAACTTTAAAACATGTTCCTGTGCCAGGTCCATGAATACCTTCCTCATCATCTACCTGGGCATCTTACTGTTTGAGGCCATCCTCAGCACCATCTTGAAGTATGCCTGGCAGGCTGAAGACAAATGGGACGAGCCTTTCTACAACCAAAAGACTGAACAAGAGAGAAACAGCAGTCCGGTAAGTCTTCTTTTGCATTAAGCTTCAGAATAATGCCTTCTTATCGATCTCCTTTTTGTAAGTAGTGCAGGCTATCAGCCCCAGAGATAGGATGAGGTAAGGTTTTAGTTGACGTTACACTTCTGTCTCTCTCTTTCTTTCTTTTTTTCTCCACTTTCACCACGCCAAATAATAATGGCCTTTTTCTCTCTACTGCCAATAGAAGTTAATAGAGAGCGTTAGTGAAGACAAAAAGATGAGCCCACGCTTGAATCCACATGTACACACACAGAGAGTGTGCACACGCACACAGTTCTTGAAGGGTGCTGGTAGGGCGGTTTTAGTGTGTCTAGATTTTGTGGCAAGGCTTAAGTGAGAAAATGCCATTCATGGGGACAGTCTGCCAGCCTATCAGCCCACCTGCCAACGCTAATCAGTCAGAGAGAAGAGCAGCCTCTATGTATTGAGACAGAGGGGGAACAAACACAGTCCAGTACAATCGCCTCTCTTCCCCCTGGAGACAGAGAGAAGAATACCAGCAACGAATTAATGGCTGTGTTTTCACATTTAGTATAACAGGTGCTCCAGAAACCTGCTGGCCCTGATGCAGTGTATGTGTACCCTTTACCGATGATCGCATGTCTCCACATTACAGCTTTCTCCTCTCTCAAGAGAATATATTGGTCCTTCAACAGACTGAAAAATGTCTAAATTTAAGGCTGTAAGATTATAATATCCATGTCCATTAGTTCCATTTCTGTATGTTGTTTAGTAAGTTAGGCAGAGCTCAAGTCCAGGTCTAACATGTCAAAAACCTAGGTTTTGTATGGCTGCTGATACTTGCTCACAGTGGTCTTCTCTCACTCTCCTTTCCTGTCACATAAAGTCATTAACTCCTGTAATGGAAATGAATTACCCTGACTGTTTGAGGGTCAGTGATCAGACCATCAGTCTGTGTGGCTTAGATGTGTATTAAGCATTTTCATTTTCCAACCATAGGGCGCTGTCACACCTAACCTGTTTGGTTCGATTAAAACGAACTCGGGTCCGTTTGTACTGTTAGTACGATTCATTTGGGCTGAAAGCGGCAATCAAACCTTGGTGCGGACCAAACAACCGGACCGAGACCACTCGAAAAGGTGGGCCTCGGTCCGCTTCCAAGCGGACTCTGGTATGGATCGTTTGTGGTGTGAAAGCAAATTAACCAACCGCAGGGTTTAATGCTGGGAAATATGTGATTTTAGCATGATTTCATTGCATGCATTACAACATTGCCAAGTGCATTTTTGTATTTTTTTTATATCAGATGAAACACAGCCAATGTTATCCATCCATCCATTAGTTTCTGCTTATCTGGGTCCGGGTTGCGGGAGCAGCAGGTTTAGGAGGGTGTTCCAGACACTCCTCTCCCCAGCAACGCTTTCCAGTTCCTCCTAGGAAACCCCGAGGCGCTCCCCAGGCCAGACGAGTCATGTTATCTCTTGAGCGTGTTCTGGGTCCACCCCGGGGCCTCTTACCTGTTGGAGGTGCCTGAAAAACCTCTAAAGGGAGACGTCCAGGAGGCATCCTGATCAGCTTCCCAAGCCACCTCAGCTGGCCCCTTTTTGACGCGAAGGAGCAGCGGCTCTACTCCGAGCCCCCTCCGGATGTCTGAGCTCCTCATCCAATTTCTAAGGCTCAGCCCAGACACTTTTCGGCCACTTGTATCCTCGATCTCATTCTTTCAGTCACTACCCAAAGCTCATGACCATAGGTGAGGGTCAGAACGTAGATGGACTTGTAACGTGCACCGAACCGCCTGTCCATCTCACGCTCCATTTCACCCTCACTCGTGAACAAGACCCCGAGATACTTGAACTCCCTGATTCACTGCTTGTTGCCCTCCTCTTGTGTCTCATTCTAATAAAATGTACTCTCATCCCTCTTTAGATCTTGAAGTTCATCTCAGACTTCTTGGCATTTCTGGTCCTCTATAACTTCATCATCCCCATCTCGCTCTACGTTACTGTGGAGATGCAGAAGTTCCTGGGTTCCTTTTTCATTGGCTGGGATTTAGACCTTTACCACGAGGAGAGCGACCAGAAAGCCCAGGTCAACACCTCTGACCTCAATGAGGAGCTGGGACAGGTAAGGACTACAAGTGCAGGAACACGTACATGTAGCATGGGAGTAAAGATGCATATACCTTTACCTGAACAGTGTTCGGTTATGATATCATGTAGTATGTTTAATATAATGTTTATTGTTTTGCAGTAAATATGCCTATTTGGATATGAACCTTAATTCACTCGTAATTGTATTTAAGTACATAATGAACACATAAAATGTCATTCTCATCGGATAAAAGGGAACTCGAACTGTGCCTCGACAACATAATACTCGACTCACGTGTGCATCTTTGTGTCTCTGTTTCCTAGGTGGAGTACGTCTTTACAGATAAGACGGGCACGCTAACGGAAAACGAGATGCAGTTCCGTGAGTGTTCAATTAGCGGAGTCAAGTACCGGGAAGTTAATGGCAAACTGGTACCAGAGGGAATGTCTGACGACTCACCAGACGGTTCTACGCCTCACCTGGTAAATCTCATTACACTCATTTTGTTTTGGAAGACACACACACACACACACACTGTACATAGACACTGTTCTTACTTGACTTAATAAACCTAAAGTGTTAGAGATGTCTTTTTCCCTTAGGCCATTTGTGTAATCAACACTAGATAATTGGTACGATTTCGGGTTGTCAACAGCATGTGAATAATACGTACAAACATACAGTATGCTCATCATTAGCTCTTCACTCAAAATCAACCCGTCTCACTTGTGTTTACAATGACAAACAGTGTGTCCCTGTATAGAATAAATAATGACAGCGTCTCTTTCTCCATCATCCCTCCTTCTCCATCCAGATTGGTGATGAATTGTTATTTCTCCAGGCGGTGTCATTGTGTCACACAGTTCAGATCAGCTACGACCAGCCTGACTGCCCGGTTGGGGGAGGAGACCCATTCTCCCATGCAAACGGTTTCTCTTCCAATCACATGGAATATTACGCCTCTTCACCGGACGAGAAGGCTTTAGTAGAGGCAGCAAAGAGGTAAGCTTACATTAGAGCTCCATCACTACTCTTCTGGAAATGTACTGCTTAGGTTGAAGAACCTGCTAAGCCAGCCGGTCGTCTAAAAGGTGCTCCAGCCTTTATCCCCGCTGTTTCCACCAACTATCACCACTGAAACCCATTGCTCACACATGCCTCACATAATTAGGAGCAGTTGTGCTCTATGACCAATTGAAATCACATGGGTGACGGGCGATTCCTTGTGTATTCCTTGCTCACATGAGTGAACTGCATTGAGCAGGGTTACCTTGTTGTTTACTCTAATATTGCTGAACCATGGCTGACACAACAGCAAACGCTACAAAGTTCGTCTGTGACCAGGCAACAATTTAATGTCCGTGGAAAGGTATTCCAAATTTTATGATCGAAGTAACGCGGGTGACTGTGTGGCACCCATTTCAATTGTCAGACTCTGTTCTTTTAAACAACTTTTTAAGGATTCATGATGCACAGAGTCGGCGATCCTGGCCGATGTCGTTTTCACACCATCAAATTGAATTATGTCAGGCTGTGAGGGGGCTGCACCCGTGACCCAGTGCCTTCATGCTCCATTGAGCCACAGACAGTGTATCTGGGTTGATTTAAACCGAAAGGAGACTCTGTTGGAACCATATCCCTAATAGTCGCTCATAAATATAGCACTCAGTTTATGTTACGACACCATTCATCTGAAATGTGACACTATTGGGGATTATATATCTGTGCACTGTGTTCTGGTGTTCAAACCAATGGCTGATTTGTGTTGTTTGATAAAGTGACTCAAGTGTTTAGTCACTTCACAACAAGAAGGTCCGAGAATTGATCAACTGGTTTGGCGTCTTACTCACGTATTTGTTCACCTGCATTTCTTAAGGATGTCCCACCTCCATGACCCTGAGGAAGATTAATAAATGGATGAATTAAGGATCGACGGACCTATTTTCATGGCAGCACAAGCTGTGCTCTCACCGTTTGGTTCTTTCCTGTCCTTGAATAGGCAGTGCAAAGCAAGTTGTTGGTATTTTGGTGGAATTATACAATAATGCTTAAAATGTACGTAAACCATTAAAACCGATCAATCTCCAATTTGTAGATGATTTTAAATCGCCACCAAAATGAACGTTTAATGTGGTGAAAGTAGGAATGCCAGTAAAGCAGTCTGTAAAATACGATGAGTAATTGTCACAGTATCTGTCATCCACAGCTGCTTTATAATGTGTGAACAATTCAGTTAACGATGTGTGATGTAGTCATTTACAACATGAAATACAGTGTAGTTAATTTATTAAGGCTAAAATAGTGTGGGACTAATTTCGATCATATAAATGACTTCATCAATATTTTAGTATTATATATTTTTATCATCCTATTACAAATGAAATAAAAACCCACCCCCTCTTTCCTTGGCTGCAGATTTGTGGTCGTGTGTGTTTGCATCGTGTTACTTTGCACCATCCAGAGAGCAAAACGATTTCCTGAAGAAGTGTCTGTCAAGTTGTTGGGCGGTTGTTGTCATGCTTCGTTGTGATTGGCTCAACTGTTTCAGAGGGATGATGCCCGTGATGTGACTGGTTGAGTGTACTGTGCCACCTCACACAGACGTTTTGCACTTTGCACCGCTGCACATACATTAACCAAAATAGCAGATGCGCTTGGAAACGACCAAACAGTCCGTGTGCCCAACATCTACCACTTTACCCTGACTAGCCTGAGGGGAGTGCAATAGCTAAACAGTTTTAAGTTTTAAAGGCCTAATCCCAAACTCCTAATTGGATCTTCACCCAGTATTTAAAGTTCAAAATGTCCATTTCCCAAAGAGTTCTAGCTTTAACTGCTGTTTGTTTTCTCCTCAGGATCGGAGTGGCCTTCACTCGCTGCAGTGGAGATACTCTGGAGATCAAGACATTTGGCAAGTCAGAGAAGTATGTAGAACCCTGTTAATCTCTTCAATGACAAATGCACATGCAATAAAAAACACAACATGTAGACTGCAGACAGAACGGTTGTGTAACCTACCCGTGAAAAATAAATGTTCACGTCTGTTCTCTGAGTCTCAAAGTTAGCTTCACACGAGTGCCTCTCTCTTCTTCCCCAGATATAAACTGCTCCATGTGTTAGAGTTTGATGCTGACCGCAGGAGGATGAGCGTCATTCTGCAGACTCCATCAGGTAACTACACCTGTAACTAGTGCTTTTAGCATTGTTCACAAAAAATTGCCTGCAGTAACCGACAATGAAAACCTGATTATATGGTCAAATTTAAGGCTGGAGATTAAAAAAAAAAATACATTAAAATAGTTTTAAAGAGTTCTTTTTTTCTGCATTTGTCTTGCTGTCTTGACTTTCAAGGTGGCAAAGTGCTGTTCACCAAGGGCGCAGAGTCGGCCATCTTGCCTTTCACTACCAGCGGTGAGATAGAAAAGACGAGAGTGCACGTTGACGAGTTTGCTATGGTGAGATTTCATTGTGTTTTTACAAAACTTTAAAATGTGTATGTTGTCTCAAAAGGTTCTCCAGCAGCTTGCACTATTACTGCTCTAAAACACATCCATTCAGCAGGTATTGGTCAGCAAACTTGCATCACATTTGTTGCAGAAAACCTTGGCGTCAGAGGAGTTGTTGATACGTTTGCCACACTTAATAATATGCATATTGAAATCCTTTAGATTTCAATATTTATTTTTCCCCATACGAAGATGGGTGGACAAGCAGACATTTGAGACGCATTGAATATATGTAATACTCGACTCTTGCCTCTTCAAAGAATTTCATTCACAGAAAATCCTCCTCAATCTCCTAATGAAACCTTTTAAATATCTCACTCTGAAATGCGTGTTGATTCATATGTTCAGAATGGCGTCTCTGTGTGCGCAGGCCTGGCATTTCCCCGCGTTGAAGTAATTACTTTTGGCTCTGTAGCTCCGTGTTCCCATTAGACTGTAAATTCGTCACCACAAGACACACACACACACACACACACACACACACACACACACAGAGAGCCCCAGATCATATCATCGGACGTCAGTACCCAGGAGTGGGTGCTCTATACTGGGTTGATTTGTGTTCGTCTCCCCCTCAGGCTGGTTCTGTGATTTAAAGCCAAGCTTTGACAAAAAACAAATCTGCTTTCTCTCTGCTTGCGTTCGTCTCACTTTCCGTCTCTCCTCCTCCTCCTCTTGACTTAACGTTTACCCCTCCTCTCTAAACAAGCTTGTTCTTTCAATTTTACATTCATCATTTCACACCATAACATCTCTTTCTTCATGTTCCGTTTTCTTTTTGTTCTGTATTTCTTATGTTCTGACTCGTGTCTCCTGTTGTTTTCTTCTACCCGTCATCCACCCCTCCCCCTCCCACTGTAGAAAGGTCTGCGGACCTTGGTTGTTGCGTGTCGCCACTTCAGCCCAGAGGAATACATCGATGTGGACAAGCATCTGAACGCTGCCCACACCGCGCTGCAGCAGAGGGAGGAGAAACTGCAAGAGGCATTCAACTACATTGAGAGAGACCTGGAGCTGCTGGGAGCAACCGGGGTTGAGGACAAGTATGGAGACTAACAAATACATGTGAATGTATTCGTGTTGTCACTCCGAAACACTAGTTTTCATCCCCTTATGCATGTGACATCTTTTACGTCAAGTAGGGATCTTTACATTTTCAGTATATACACAGTGTTCTGTTGGATGTGTTTAGGTTACCCTCTTTGCTCGCCCATGATAGTTGTGTATATTAGCTGATGCATACAGTAGGAAGAAGTTGATTTTGAAGTAAATAACATGTAGTTAGTGTTTTATTTATTCATCATTCATGTGATGTGGCTCCAAATTGACGTTTTAGTGCCTCCTGTGCATTTAAAGCCATGTTGGCTGTATGGATGCCGATGTAGGTTGGTCCGTTCTCTTCTTTGATCCAGACTGAAATATCTCAACAGCTGTTGGATAGATAAGGCATGATTTTGGTAAACGTTCATGGTCCACAGAGGATGATCCTTCTGACTGTGATGATCTCCTGGCTTTTCCTTTTTTTGTTTATTAGTGAAATGACTTGTCGAGATTCCCAGAAGGTAAATCTTAATAACTTTGGTGATCTCCTGACTTTTAATTGAATACCATTTCAGGTCAAAAATGTAATTTGTCTAATACTTTATTTTATGACCAAATTTACATTCTCAGTTGCACTTTGTGTTGAGTGGCAATTAGAAAAAGTTAGCATGCTAACATGCTAAACTAAGATTGGGGAACATGGGAAACAAACCTGTTAAACATCAGCATGTTGTAATGTAAATAGCAATATACCATGTACTCAATAAAGATGGGAGTGGCTCCGAGCTACAGAAGTAAAGACTAGATAACCAAACTAAAGATTATTACGTTACAGGAAATAACCGTTAAAGCTCCGTTAATTGTAAAATAGTTTGACAGAGAAAAACTGTGGCATTAAAAAAAACAACAATAAGGAAACGCATGAACCGAAACAGAAAGATAAACACAGTGGACGTGAGAATCTTCAAACAAACAAACAATGTAGTGGGGAGAAAGACGTCATCCCCCCCTAATGAATGTTGATATGCGTTTGCATCAGCTCACCATCTGCTCCTCACGTACTCCTCCCTCTTCTTCCTCTTCCTGCTGCTCTGTTTCTGTATCTGGAATGAATTCCTCCTCCAGCACACATGGACACAATCAAAAGATTTCCTGTATCATGGAAGACAGGACTGAAATGTCCCCTCTGCTTTGAGTCTAATGAGCATAGTGTAATGCTGACACGCATTGTAATATTATATTCTTTGTCTTTTAACCTTTTAGGAATATTAACTGTGGTTAGAAATAGGATAAAAAGTCTGCTCAACACCAGGTTTAAATCACCTCACCCACAACAAGTGTAATACAAAATGTTCTTTGGTTATTTGTTACCTGGGGAGTGATCTAATGTAATTACACACGGGGATCACTGAGAGCTTTGCATATGCAATACATGTAACATGAGTACATGGATTATATTTTGTCTCTGTCAGACTCCAAGACAAAGTCCAGGAGACCATTGAGGCTCTACGGCTGGCAGGGATCAAAGTATGGGTGCTGACGGGGGACAAACATGAGACGGCGGTGAGCGTCAGCCTGTCCTGTGGCCACTTTCACCGAAGCATGAACATCCTGGAGCTTCTGCAGCAGCGTTCTGATAACGAGTGTGCTGAGCAGCTCCGCATACTGGCCAGGAGGTGAGTGTTTACCGATTCCCCTTTTGACCCTTGAATATACACGGTGCATCTTAAAATCCATCTTGAATCTTTGTTTTCTTTTAACAATGGAGCTCTTTAACTATTGGATTAAGAGTTTAGTTTTAGTGGATTCCATTGATTTGATTGATGTCCCGTTGTTACGGTCTGGACCTCAACTTGTTTTTATGATTTACAAAAAAACTTCAGAACCCTGTCCAGTTATTTAGAGGCCAGTTACGTATTAAACAAAACGTCTATGTAGCGAGACAATGTGCTTTGAATTGACAGTAAAATGTAATACAGCATTAGATTGTAGTAGTTGCTAGTGGTTCTTCTTGTTCCTGTCCGTATACACCGCCTCTCATATTCTGTACTTTTCCTCCAGGATAGAGGAGGACCATGTCATACAGCACGGCTTAGTCGTGGATGGGGCCAGTCTGTCTTTAGCCTTGAGGGAACACGAGAAGCTCTTTATGGAAGTGTGTAAAAACTGTTCAGCTGTGCTGTGCTGCCGCATGGCCCCGTTGCAGAAAGCTAAGGTACCAGTCCTCTGCCACACACACACACACACACACCAAAGTGCATTACCCTCACACTGTCCAGAAGTCATTGTTACTATGTTCTGTCCAGGTGGTGCGTCTTTTTAAAACCTCCCCAGAGAAACCCATCACTCTAGCGATTGGGGATGGAGCAAATGATGTCAGTATGATACAGGAGGCTCATGTGGGCATAGGTAAGCACTCACCCCACACACACACACACACACACACACACACACACACACACACACACAC